AATTCAAATTTCTTTATTATTTTCTAATGTATTTTCTAATATATTAATAATCTTAATAGATAGTTCTGTTAATCTTTTAGGTAGATCAGTAAAGTTTTCTCTTTTAAGTATATTGTATTTAGTCAAGATATTAGAGAATCTGTTAGTAATAATCTTAATAAAGCTTTTATGAGTAGTCTTTAATAAAATGATAGATCTGATTTTAGTTACAGTTAATGATAAGGGACGAAACTTCTTAATAACAGTCGAAACTTAGACGAAACTATATTAAAATCATAATAAGGGATACGACAAAACCCTTTCAATACGATGAAAGCCGAAACTGTCAAAACTATATTAAAAACATAGAAAAGGGTATGACAAAATTATTTTGAGGAGGTTTTGACAGGCATTTATAGTTACAGTATATCATACTTTTATTCTATAGGTTTAAAAATAGGGTAAACATATGCAATTTTTTATTCATTGGGGATATCTCCTAAAGAGAAGCATATACAAATAAATTTTCAAAGTAGATATTGAAGCTTGTTACTTAAATGAGAGAGTATTTTATTAGTAATACCTAAGGGATCAGTAGCTTTATCTTTTAGTAGTAATCTGAGAACAGAAATTATTCCTTATATATAGATGATTGTATCAGGTTAGAATAGTACGAATTATATACATAGTCTTTAGGTTAAAATTGATTGAACTATCTAGGAGATATAAAAGGGCAGATGTTGTTGAGAGTGTAAAATTTTGAAAGTAATTACTGGTAGCAGCTTTAATTTTATTAGAGTATATAATGAATCTCTTTGTATTTGAATTTCTATTACTGATGAAAAGATGATCTAACACAATTGATCTCTTTTTCTTATTCAAAATTGAGTCAATTATTTTAGAAGAATTACTTTAAAGATTATTATATTTCTTATCAATCAAAATTTTAATAGCTTGTTTTTTAAGTTTTTATACTTTAACTTTGATTAGAATGGAAAGTGATTTATAGATGTCTTTTATTAAGAATTTAACATTATAAACATTAAGGATATTGAGAGAAAGAGGAAGAGAAATCATTGGCAATTTAAATTTAATGATTAATACTTTAATATTGTTTTTTATAGTAAGCCAATCTGAAGTATTAGGTTACACATTTTATAAAAATAAGCATATTCTTAAATTTTAATAAGATTAAGATTAATTTACAAATAGCAATAATAAATTTTAGTTAATCAAAAGGTTATTTATTACATTGTTAAGAGGAAATCCAAATTTGTGAGATAATACTTCTATTAATAATTAAAATAGCTATTTTAATCTCATTTCAAAGAGTGTTTATATTACTTTTATTATTAAGAAGATTAAGAAGATAATTAAGGTTATAATAATAGTAATAAAAAAGTTATATAAATTGCGAATTTTGTTCATTTGTTATTATTTATAGCTTTTAAATTAGGAATTTGTCATTTGTTTTGCAAAATATGAGACTTAGCATTCTGCTATTTATAAAAATTAGCAAATGTAGCAAAAATAATCTTTTGATCAGAAGAATAAAGGTCAGGTATATCTATATAAGAATATAAAAAATTTGAAGTATAATTAAGTAAAACAAAAATGGCATCAATTCTCAAGCTATAGAGTCTAAAGTCTAGAATTATACTTTAGTTAGAGTGTATCATAATAGAGGTCATAGAAGTCTAGAAAATTCAGAGCAAAGTGTTATTAGTAAAAACTTATTCACTAATTAAAAGATAAATCATTTTGAATAAGTGACTAATATGTATTAAGATCTATATTAAAGTCATTTAAAATTAGGATTTTAAACTCAAACTTAATTCTATCTTTGACGTGTTTGATAATTTCTTTATAAAATTTCAATTATTTGATTTTGATATAAATTTCAATCAAAGTTTGCAAGCAAATGTAGAAAATTCTAAGTTTAATATGCCTATTAAGTAAAGGTCAACGTAAATAAATCTATTGTTATCTAAAAATACTTTTTGAACATAAATTGCCTAAAATTTTTTGATCAAGATGCTAACATTAGTATATGAGTTAATATAACTACTTTAAAAAGAAGTATAAATTTAATTAGAGGATGTACAAAAGGATTAGTTCACTTTGTGTTGAGTTTCAGTTAAACCTACAAAGTCAGTATTAAAGTCTAAAAATATATCATTAATAAATTAATTTTTGATTGAATATTATAAAGAATTAATATTATGGGTAACAAATGAAATAAAGGGTGTTTCTTTTGAATTAAAATTATTATCATTAGACTGTTTATTATTAAAAGTATTATTTGAGATAATATTGTCATTTATATTAATTATGATTTAAAAGGTAAGGTGAATAGTAATTATTAGGAAAAAGAAGAAGATAACATGCAAAACTGCACTATTATTTCTTACATTTGAGCATTAACAATTTGAAGTTATTTTATTATTTAATGATTATTTTAACTTATTCATTAATGACTTCTTGGATTTTAAGATCAATAGATTTAGGATCTTTTTGTTTATCCTCTTCTAAAGATAAGTTTGTAATTCTAACTCTTTTCTGTGAGTTAAAAACAGATGAAATAATTTTTAGAGAAGGATTAATAGAGGTAATAGAAGAATAGAAAGTTATAGAAGTAATAAGAGTAGATTGAACCTTTTCCAATTTAGCAATACAAGTTTCAAAGTCAATTATAGCCTTTTGCATTTTCATAAGCATTTTCAAATTTTTATTTAATTTAGTATTTATATCGTTATTATTGTTCTTCAGGTTATAGAGGAAATCGTCAATTGATGAGCTAGAGGGACTGATATTCTTAATTTTACCTTTATTATTAATGAGAATGGGTTTGACAAGAGGAAGAGTAGTTGTATAATCATTCTGTTTAAGGTTAAATCTAATGATTAAAGATCTAGAACTAGTAGACTTATAATGATTATAAAGTACAAAAGGTAATTTATAACTAGGAGTTTTAGGTTATTCTTTAGATGTATCCTCTTTAAAAGAAGTAATTTGAGAGCATTTCATAACTATGTAATCAAGTGAGCCATACTTGTGACAACACTTAGCATCTAATAAGTATTACTATAGTTCTTGATTACTATAAGCAATTAGTTGTTTAACAGCATTATTTAAATTTGCTTCTAAAGCAAAAAAAGAATAACAAAAAGACAGGATTTATAGTTATTGGATTATAGAATATATAAAGATTTTACTTTAGTAAAAAGAGTAATAATATATAAGTTATATACAGAAGTATTAAAGAGTAGATTTATAAGCTTTATATGAAATTTATTACATTATTAAATTTGTTTAAGGGTTAAATTAGATAAGTAAACCATAATACAGTTATTATAAATGTATCAAAACCATTAGGAATAAAATAATTGGATGATTTTTAGATCATCATAAGTAATGTATATATGCTGCTAAAGATACATTTATACTTTAGTAATAAAGCTATATTTGGCAAAAAATTGGTGAGCTATTCCTTTTTTATACTAAGATAAATATCTGTAATATGAAGAGTACATTGTTCGAATTGCATATTTTCTTTGTAGCTTGCATAATTAATTAATTTATCAATGTTCAAATCTGAAAAAGTGACTGTAAGGACTAATTCTAGTGATTGTTAATCAGCAAAGTAGATCACGATTAACCTGACAAGGTGAATTTGATAAACATTAATTCTTTTAAAATTGTTATCAAAAGCAAAGTGAATATTAATAACTTTTAAAATATCAGTTGTAAGGAGTTCTTTCATAGTTTTAAGATGGTAGAAGTATAAGCGAAGGGTGAAGGATGGATGATAATAATAAAATTCTTGTTATCTATTTTCATATTATCATCATCCTCAAGAATATACTCATTTTTATCTAAGATATTGGAGAAAAGAAACTTAAAAAAGTCTTAACAATCTTAGCATCTGAAACAGACAATGGATTGGATTATTGACCTGAGCCAGAAGTAGAAGTAATAGGTTTAGACTTAGGTTATTAGTCAGAACTAAGGTCAGAACATTGAGTGTTCTTACGAGCTGACTGTCTATACTATTTTTTCAGTGTCATGATTGATAAAATAAACTTTAAAAATAAAAAACTCTTTGTCTTTTAAATGTGTTTTGAACTAACTGAGTTTATAAATATAAAAATTGTTAAAGGCAAAACTTTTTTATTTTTTTGAACTTTTTTAACAAAAAGTGATTAACAAGAAAGAGTTTTTTTTATTAATCCTATTTGAATTTTGCCAAAATTAAAATTTCTTTTTAGATTTGTATAATGTTACCTAACCCTTCAAAAAGGCATTTTAGTTAGCATTATAGCTAGAATTATATATTTTAGTCAAAATTAATGATATGATGAATAACACGTGATGAATATGATATTTCACTCTATATGGGATCTTTATAATAGAAAAGGAAGAAACAGCTGAAAAAATAAAAAATGAGTTAATAAACATATTTTGATCTAAAAATCATATTTTGGCATATAAATTAAAATTGATTTTTTCTGACTGTTTCTCCCCTTTCTATTGTAAAGATCCCATATAGTAAAAATGAAATGCGAATAGTGTGACGCGAAGTGACAAATTATTCATTAAAAGAAATCACGTGACATTAGTGATGATCACCACCGGTGATTCATAGCAAAATTATACTTTTTTTTTATAACGATAAATTAAAAATTAAATTTAAATTTAAACAATGTTAATATAAAGAGTAAGTTATTTTTATTGATCATCTACAGTAAATTTAATTATATTCATAATAGCTAATATTAATTTTATTGATTATTTATATATAATTATACTTCTTACTATAATTAAAATTGTTATTTGTGAGTAAAGTTTTACAGGATGTTATAATTAAATATATATGATTTTTTTAATTGCATTTAATTTGATAGTCTTAAGAAAATTTGATTCAAAGGAAATGAAATCAAAATATAACTTAATAAATTGCTTTACTTTACTATTAATAACAACAGATGTGATTCATAATGTTGACTAGATGATCCATAACGTTAATTTGATGATGTAAAAAAACGAGTACTAGTAGTATCAGGTAAAGGATGTGAATAAGGTACAGAAGAATGATTATTAGGAATGGGTGGAAGTTCTCTTTGATTTTGATTCATTGGTATAGTATTAGGAATAAGTGGCAATTCTTTATTTCTAATTTCAAAATTATTTAAATTTTCCAAATGCTTTACATCTACGACATATTCCTTTAGAACAAATTCAAGAGCATTTAAACGATCCTGTAATTCTTTGACATTTTGAGAGGGAGAAGGATCGACGAATGGAATTGTTGGAAGCGTTTTTTTAAGTTTATTATGATATCTTGTTAAATTACAACAATACTGTTGCACACAACCCCAAGGACGAACCATATCTACACCTATATACAAATTTAATGAGTGAATAAGTCAAAAGATGAATGAATATTGTATTACAAAAAAAAAAATTCGATAAATTTATTACCAAATAGAGACGCAAATAGTGCCGCAGCTAGACCCCAGGCACCTCCAACAAGACCAAACATACCGAGTATCTTTTTATGAAATAAGAAGTTTATTAAATTATAAATTAACATGATATATTCTTATTAATAATAAGGTCATAAACGATACTTACAGTTCGCGTTCTTAAATTTTAATGACAAAATTTAAATTATTTTTAAGCGCGTGTTAATGAATCTTTCTTATAGTTTCTTAAGTTTTTTATTTAACATACTGCACCTTTGTTCAGTCTCTACCGTTACAAGGAAACTTGGGAAAGTTAACATAACTTGATTAGCAAAAAATCCGGTTGGAAATTCCAAATCTACAGGAAAAGGCATGCTCTCTATTATAAAATAAATAAATAAATTAAGCGTGTTTATACATATTTATAATATTAAGTGAATACTTACGGATACTGGATCGAAGATAAGGTTGCACATCATAAGATGGGTTAATTCCAAGAGTACCTATGAATTTTGAACGAATTGTTTTTCTTATACGTCTATTCAATTTTACATGCAAAACCTAAATTATAATAAGTAATATTTTGTAAATAAATAAAAAAAAATTAAATCAAGTTTTCAAAAATATATTACCTGTCTGTTAGGCAAGAGAAATGAATTATCTGTGATTGATTCACTAACATATCTAGGTAATTCATAATAAGCTGTTTCATTTATAAGGTTGAATTTTTCAATATCTATTGGACTTTTTTCTAAATATATGTATTTTATTTTTAATATATTTGCTTGCCAGCAAAACTTTGAAAGAATTCAATATATTTATTATTAATTTACCAGAATCAATAACAAAAGATTGTATTACTGAAATATCATTAACATTCTCAGTTGAAATCTTATTAGAAGTGATGGTTATTATTACGGATGATATTGCATTTAGACCATTTGGACCTGTTAATTTTGTAAATGTTAAATTTTTTTTATTTATAAAATGTCCGTATGATCCAGGACGTCCCAAAAGTTCAAGATATTTTGGTTGTGTTATTGTATCATAACAAGAATGTTGTGTAGGAGACAATCCCGCTACATAATAAATATTCATTGAGAAATTAATGTTCAAATCTATTTGATTTATATTTTTTTTCTTGAAAAAAAAAAGGAAAAAAAAATATAACTTACTAAGATATGTGCAATTAATATTAAATTGATATTGGGACAAAAAGTAAAATCCTATATCTAAAAAAAGTGAACATTATTTAATAAAAGTATCCTTTTTTTTTATTTTTATTTTTATTTTTAAAACATACTAGGAATTGGTACTTCAGCAGCATCTTCAATTGAACTTTGAAAAACTGGGTCATCATTCGCGACAAATTTAATTAAAAAAATACTATACGTTATAATGAAAATTAATAGTATTATCATAATAAAGGATCTTAAGACATGGACCGCTTTGGGTTCCGTCTTTCGACGCCGGTAATACATTCTTAGTTTATGAAAAAAATGATTACCACTTTTGCAAGGTTATTACTTTTTTTTTTTTCGAATTATCTATATGTCGGCATGGAAAGAATTTAATATAATAGAGATTCTGAAATCAATTTTTATAATCAACATTCAAGATCTTATTATTTTAATTAATAAGGAAATTTAATTTATGTTTTGCATATTGTACTCGGTGTTGGTCCACCTTTATAAGTCCAATTATAATTAGACTATAAGTTCAACCACTAGAATTATGTCCAGGACAAAAAAAAAAAAACCTTAAACTATTTTAAATAAATCCGTTATTTCAAATTCAGATACCGTTTTATCAAAAAAAATTATTTTGTAAAACTATATAACATTAGTTGTATTTATAATCTTGTTAAAAAACAATTGCTATAAAAGGCTTGTTGCGCCACTCATATTCTTTGAAACTTTATCTCATCGTTCGTTTGGTCGATGATGTTAGCGACGAATATGTTGTACCACAAATGCGTTAATGTCCGAAATGCGCATTTGGGGTACAACAGATATAATGGTAAGTATGGTATTTATTAGAATTATCGCTTTTCCTAGTGGAATTATGAGTCGAGACTTCTTCCGCAATGGACTTCACCAAACCTGAATTTATAACTGAAAGGGAAATGAAATGGTGACGGAAACAATTCAGATCAAAGGAATTCATTGGCCCACAACAATCAGTAATGAAAAATCGGTCAAAGCCTTGAATATTCGTTAAAGACAAATTCGTGTAACATATCACCGAATATTCAAATATGATTATATAAAGTACAGTATGTACAACAAAAAATGTGATTAAGTTAGGGATATCATTATATCGTGACATCACAGTAGGCCTGTTCGTTAGGATTTTTGACAAATAAATTTAATAATGACATGCCGACAAAAATATTGAAAATTTATTAACGAAGCCAGTTTTGAGGATTCCGACAATGAATCAAATGATCTGAAGAACAACAATTAAAAGTCGAAGAAGAGACTCTCATTATTTAGAGCCACGTATAGTTGCATGGCAAAGCTCATTTTAGCAAATGGAAAAGAAACCCTATATTTCGACGGATTTTTTAATAAGACTTTTGACTTTTGACGGGATTTTATTATGGTTTCGAGATTCGACGGTTTTGCCAATAAGATTTATTATAGTTTTGCCAGTGACCCCGTCGAGGTCCGAGCGTTTGTCAGGCGACTATAGTTGTTATAATACATTATTCAAATAAAAAAAATTCTTAAAATTTGTCAATTATAATATCGCGAAATTTATAAAAACTTTTCGTTATGAGCCAAATTGGACTGTCATTTAAATAGTTAAATCAATCTGGGCTTATTATTTTTTAATGTCGACGACAGTGATCACGAAAATCCGTGAGTCCTACCTAGCTGTATATTAAGCCATAAAACATTGAAAACTTCCATTAATCAACTCTTTTTCTTTTATAAAATTCTTTCCTTCATGATAAGAGATCGTTTAAATTCTCTTGAATTTCTAGAGGAATGTGAAAATTAGACTAAAATGAGTACGTAATTATCACTTATAATCTTAATAAGGATCAATAAAATTATACAAATAAACATTACTTTCAGTGAATTTGGACGCAATTGTAAAGGCCTATATATTTAGTCTCCTTTATAAATCAACTAAACAACCCAGCCTTTTTTCTTTAAACTAAATTTTTTGGGGAAGAATTTATGAAGAATTTCGTTTCGTTTCGTTAGTATAAATTTCGTATTATTTATATAAGTTGTAAATTACCATTTAAAGTTATCTAAAAACGTGTTTTTTTATATGATGGAAACGGGATGAACTTGGTATTTATTAACTCGCGATACGTTCATTTCATTGTATTAGAATGTTGAAATCATACTTTATTCAAAAAAAAGTTAAATTAGTTCTCGTAACATTACAAGGAATAGTTATAATTGAACTTAATATTGCATGAAAAAGACAAATTCCAATATTGCCATCAAATTTAATAATTCTGAGGTGATATTTGGGCAATTTTATCTTTTTTTGGAAACAAAACAATCTCCTAATTTTTTATATCCAGCGTAGCAAGGTACAAGGTTCGCTTAAAAGTTCTTCCAAATGTCCTTACATTGCACTTGGGTTATGAAAAAAAACTCCCATTTAAAATCTTTTTTGACTTTTTTTTTGTTGATTTAGATGGAAATTTCCATTTTCAGAAAACAATTATATTTTTGGTAATCATTAGGCGCAGCTATTTCGCATTATTATAAATAATTGGTGAAACGAGTTATCATAAAAAAATATTCCCTCACCTATTTATTAAATACGGTATTAAACCTGAGAAAATGACTACTGACAGTCTTAATTTTTCTATCGATCCTTTGTCTAATTCTCAACTTAAGAACGAATCATACAAGTCTTCAAGCGACGACCATTTCGCTTTTGATAACGACTCATCTACCTCAGACATCACCTTCTTTACTATCAAACAGGAAAACTCGGATTCTATGTCTTCGGATTTTATCGACATCGAACAGAATTCAGATGTTACTAACACCGAACAAATTTCGGATTCTAAAAATACTGAACAAATGTCGAATCTTATTAACAGCTCTGAAGATATCATTAACTCGGATAATTTATCCAAACAAATTGATTCTGATACCACTACCACATATAAACAACTAGGTCCCACCTTGTTCTACAAAAAGAAAAGAAATGATGACTTTATTTATTTCGGTTATATTCTGAACTACAAAATTCCAATTATCGGGGTTCAAATGTCTTATCCTATAAAGTAAGTATTTTTTTTTATTTTGACGAGTTCATTCTCTATAAAAATTAATTCGTTTGTTGATTAATTTTATTTAGATCTATTCTTTCGAAATTTGGATTCTATGCGGGTGGAATTAAGAAAAAATCTATTGCTGCAAAGTTACAAACCTTTATTTATGGTGGACAAATCCCAAAAAATAGCCTTTTTGCAAATATACAATCCTTTATGAGGGATTAGTATATATTACTGTGTTATTCTTTTTTTATTTATTTTATCTTTCGAATAATTTTGTTTACATTTTTTTTTAGTATCATGTTTTTCATAATTAAAATAAAGTTGATTTAAAATACAAAAACTGCTTTTTAATTTTTACCGCTTTAATAATTCTAATACTTTAGATGAAGGTATTATAAATTTTTACTCAAAATAGTTCTTTTGAATGTTCGAATTGATGCTTTTTAAAAAAAATTAAAATAAATCGAATTTAATAAAATATAAATTAATATTTTAAATTACTAAAATAATTAATATTAATAATTAGTCCGGAACGAAGCGAAGGACTTTCTTATACTAGCCACATGTTACACGAGTCGATACGTGGTTGGTGCTCCGGACTTAACAATGGTTTCCGAAACCTTTCCCTAATATAATTTAAGTTGCATAGCCTTTATTGTTTTATAAAAACTAAAAATTATATAAAAATATTTAGCAAGCTATAAAATTTTAAAACATTTTAAGACTCTGAATAATTCTCATATATTTTACAATCAAAAATTAATATAATAAATTATTGATATAATGATCACTTAATAAATTATCATTTAAACAATCTTTAAACTTTTGCTTTATATTAAAATATAAAAAAAATTCAGGTTTGAGAATTTTTTTACTAAAATTAAAATTTGATTATATTTTAATCTAATAATATAAAACCTAAAATAAAATAAAAATTAATAAATGCTTAATATCTGATTTTCTAATAATATATTAAATTTATAAATTGTAATAAATGAAATTTTAAAAAATTTTTATAATAAATTAGAAAGTGTCATTTTATTAAATTTTGATTATAAACTATAATTTAATTAAAGTAAAAAGATAAAATATTTTCATTAGATTCTCTTATTAAGTTAAATCTAATAATATAATTTTTATTAAATATCATTAATTATAAAAAAATTAGATATATAAAATTTTGAAAATTATTTATAATAGCTAAAATTTGTATATAATTTTTATATAAATTTTAATATAAATTTTACTAATTATTAAATATAGTATTTAATATTTAGAAGAATAAAATTTATTATATCTGTTTTATTTACTTTAAAAATATTATAATTATATAGAAAGTTAAGAAAATTAATAGAATAAAATGTTTAGAAAATATTATAATAGATAAAATAAATAGATTTTTTAAAAAATTTTAAATAAAGAAAATTAAATTTAATAATTAATTACAGATTTTGCTTTAGAAACTTTGCTGTAAAATAATTATAAATTATTATGATTTTAATTGTTTAAGAAATTTATTTTTAATAATATTATTAATATTAGTAAATAATTACATATTAAATATTGAGATAGCTATTTTTATCGTATTTACATACTATATAAATTTGTGTTTTTATAATATATTTAAAAATTATCAAGTTTAAATAATATTATAAAAGAAATTATTAATTTAATTACTTTTTTCAATAATTAACAATATAATATAATAATTTTAAAATAACTTACTAATGATATGTATTTGATGAGATTTGATTAAAAATAAAGATAATCTTGTCTATACTTTCTAAATTATTGAAGTTTAAATATAATATCTTTACTTTTAAAATCTGGATGATAAATAATATCTACTAATTCATCATAAGCCTAAGTAATTAAAAATATAAGATAATATTAAAATCAATTATATTTTGATCAAATATTATAACTTATATATATTATACTTCTATATTTAACAAAATATTAAAGCTTCTATAATATTATTAAAATACAACATAATATTTCACTAATATATAGTAATTGTTTACTTTTTAAGAAATCATTAACAATTACTTTTTCATTTTTATTTAATTCATCATATTCTTTATTATCATTTAGTTCATTATAATTACTTTTATTCTCATTTAATTCATTAAGTTCATATTTATTAAGTTCATATTAATTAAGATTATTTTATTAAATTTGTTTTCATCTTTATTACTAAGATCTTTTTTCTTATTAAATTTA